AAATAACTGAAAGTTAGTGATTATTCAGTTACTACTATTATTTTATATGGTTATGGTTCTCAATTGTTGGTGTTCTTGAGTTTCTCTACATCCCCATCAATAGAAACTAAGATTGAAGTGAAGATCACCAATCAATTGGAAGATCCTAACACATCCAGATAAAAAATTAGAAATCTATGGATCAAGGTATGTTTATGTTTCCGCTATTTTCATTTTTATTAATTTCAACATGGATGGTTATATTTGAGAATTAAGGATTTGATTATTGTTTTGATTGATAATCTTATTATGTTTTTCCAACAAAAACCTCCACAGGCAGCAGGTTGATGACAAGCTAGCCCGATCACCTTACAGAAACAAGCAAAAATACGAATCTGTATCATTGGGCAACCTAGTCCAATTGACTATCCCTTTCTCATCCAAACTCAGCCTCATTTCTCATCGAGCTCAGGAAAATTGACTCTCTTCTTCGTCCCTCCTAGCAGCTCTCATCTATACTCTCCAATGCAAACCTCTCGTTGTTGAGCCGCATAAACTATCCTACAGCCAGGATCTTTGAACCAGAAATTATGAACAAAATGACATTTGACAACTCACATTCAATGACAAAGACAAAATAAATTAACAACCTGACATTAAGAAACTCAAATATCAACTTCCCTTTATCTAAAACCACCTAAATCTAATAATCAGGGGTTCACCAACACGACATGATGCTAGAAGCAAGCACCATACATGCGCCAAGACCCAACTTTTGCGACAATTGATGAACTGACGAATACTTAGAAATCGAAAACACTTCAATCCAAAACCTAAACTGAAAAATAGGAATAAACTTTTCTGTATTTTTCTAATATTACAAAAAAAGAGTTACACAAGTATATATACTTACAAGACTTCCAAAGTTCAAGGAATACAATCAGGAAACTAATAACCTAACTCCTATTAATGGAATTACAGCATAAAAAGAACAAAAATGCTAAATGTGTATATCTTGGTTCGCATTCACTTTCACATCCCTCTCACATAGCCGGTGGGGCCCACAATTTTTAAAATTGCGGACCCCACCCCCTATGTGAGAGGGATGTGAAAGTAAATGTAAACCAAGTGTATAAGTGTAGCATTACTCTAAAAAGAATATAAGGAAATAATTGAAAATCTTCAATTACTTGATTTAAATTAAACCAAATCTTAACATAAACCCTCGAACAAGTAAAGCCTTGAACAGATCAGAGGCTAGCATCCGTGCTTTTGGGCTCGATATCATTCAAACTTTTTGGCAATGTAACATATTGTTATAATGCTTGGTATTGTTTTTGTCCTTTGTCGACTAAGTTAAAGGTCTCGTCGATCAATTTATCGCATTCACAAAGACAATTTGAATAATCATGCTTTCGTTTCATTGTTGAGTTCAGGGCTGGCCCTGGCCCAAGGCAAGCAAGGCCACTGCCTTGGGCCTCAGATTTTTCAGGGCCTCTGGATTAAAAAAAAAAAAGCCCAAAACCCCTCAAATCCCATTTTAAAAGAAAAAAGGAGTACAGACCAGAGAAGAACAAAACAACCCGTCTTTCTTCTCTAATCATCTTCTCATCTTCATCCAAAAGTTCTCTCTATTCCCTAGGCGACAATTGGCGATTCATATTTTCCATTAAACCCTCGTTGAAAATCTGAAGATTGAGGGGGGCACGACTTCATAGGTACACGCCCCTGTTTGTCGAATTGTGGTTACAAATTTAAGCGAGTAAGAGTAATGTTATTCATCCCACTTGAGATGAAAACACAGTCTAAAATGAATTCTTGGTTGTCAAAATTGTTATCTTTTGAATTTTGATGATTTCTCATTTTCTAAGTGTTTCTATAATGGATTCTTCTTTATTGGTTTCTTATTTTGTATAAATTATGCATTGGTGATATTTACATAGAATTTGAAATTTTTGTGTTGATTTTTGCTTCAGGTGGACGGTAGTATTAGGGCTTCAAGTCTTAAGATAACAAACTTGGATTTGGGTTATGTTAGACCCAAATTGAGTACATTGGAAGCCTTTGCTTGGTTTTAGGAATCGAAATTCTGTTAGATTTGATGGTCTGGTATTTTCACATAGATCAAAGAAGGCACTAACTAGGTGGCGCAGTTTGACTTCAGATGCTGATTGTAATTTTCTTTATACTGATTTTTCTTTGTTTGGTTAATTTGCATTTACCTTTTCTTGGATTTTGTTAATTTACATTTACCTTTTCTTGTTGAGTTGTTCTTTGAGGGTTTTTTTTAGTAACACTGTCAAGATGGATTCATAATTTATAATTACTAATTTAATAATTGAAATCAATTACTTGTGAAGAGATTAACTAGACACTGAACAATTCTCAGTCATATGTCCTGTTATGAATCGTATTTTGTTTGTTTGCTTATTTGCTTGTTCAGTTGTTCATTCGATTTCTTAACAGCTGCAAATAACTGTGAATCTTTGTGAGTTGAATTCTTTGAATTGAATCTGCTAATGAAATTGAATGTTTACTACCCTTTGTCTCTCTTAAACCATATGTGATGTAAATGCAAAAATGATGCTACAGTTTTGATTTTATAGCTTAGTTTCTGTATCATTAATTGAATGCTTAAAATTAGGTTGCCCTCTTCTTTTTATTGTATATTTAGTATTAGTATACTGCAGATTTTGGAGAAATTGGGCTTTGTGATTTTACTGTGACATTTCATTGGTCAAGGTTTATTTGTTTTTCAAATCCTCGATTTTGTACTTTTTATGTAAATTTATGATCGTTGATTAAGTCTTATCTTCGATCGACAATGTCAGAACATCGATTGAATGGATTAACTATGATTTCTATTGAAAAAAATATATTGGAAAAACTTGATTTTAGTAATTTGATTACTAATTTTACATTTCAAGATGTGAGAAGGTTAAATGTTATGCTAGCCTAATCTCTTTGTGAGAGAAATTTTAGTTTGCTACGGCAACTAGTCTAACTTTTGAATTATATAAAGTCTTTTTTTCAATATAGAAGTATTAATTATTTAAATATTTAAAGTTTGTTACAATTGTGAAAAAATGATTATTTTGAAGGGTTTCATATTAATTAGTCACCTAGAGCCTCTAAATTCTCAGGGCCGGCCCTGGTTGAGTTGGTACGAGTTTGATTTTTCAAAAGTTGACAGTAACCATGACCATAATCTCGAATTTATGAGCAACAAAAACCAAACTCAAAAGAAAAAAAACGAGGAATTTTAAGTTGGAAAGGACACTGTGAGGTGGACTGGACAAATGAGATCTTCCTCTTGCTTATGGCCAGTGACTTTAAGCAAAGGTTTTTATCCCTCTTGTCTGATTTTAGAGGTAAGACTGGCAAATGATAGAATTCACTTCGTAAAAATCCCACCTTCTATCAAAAAACTTTAAAGTCAAAACTACTTTTTTCCCCCTTAACCTAAAGTTAAACTTCTAACACTAATTTTCTATCACTATTAAATTTTGTTCTTTTCTTGTTTGCCACCCCCTCCAAGGCTGAGATAACTAGCCATGCCTTCAATTCAATTTCAACAAGCATCAAGTTGATTTTTCACAAGCCGAGTTGGTGGACTATATTGACTACAAATTCTACTATTATGGAGAAGTATGCACGAGTATAACATATTTAATAGTCTACGGCTTAATAAATCAAACTCGAAAGTCTTTTCTCGAATTGATTTTGAACCAAACGTCACACAAATCTTTATCGATCGATTTGCTTGAACTTATTTACAATAGTAATCACAAGGTGCATCACCCATGATCGAAAGGAACAATAAACTTCATAGTGTTGCCCAGGCAATGTGGGTCCAAACTGCCAAATCCAAATGGTTTCTACTTTCTTGCACGACAGTGATCTTATGTATTATTTTAAGAAGGTGGCACAAATTATATTCTAGGCAACCAAACTCGACTCCGTGTTTGAAAGTTTAGGTGAAGGACAAGGCCAAACTAGATTACTCCACTAAACTTGGACGCTTCTCCACCGCCAACCACTGCAGAGCCTCCACGATGAGGTGGTGGTCACCCTCACAAGTCACAACCACCGCTTATTGTCACCGCAATATAACAAAATTTATTTTTGATAACAAAACCTTATCTTGAAAAATTTTTCAATGATCCTTTTTCAACAAAGTAACTAAAATTATAACTTCTTACAACATAAATTTTGATCACTAAAGTAAAATTTCTTGTAGTGTCTATATGATTTGACCATTCAATCTAAGATTTATCATTCATGGAATTTGATAAGATCAATACATTTAGCAACACTATAGGATGATATAGCCTTAGAAGGACGAGGTTCAAATGAGAAAAATTTATTGTGAGTATCGTGACACACAGAGGTGACAAATGACATAGTAATCGATGAAATGCTTGTGGGGGCATCTTCCATCCTCAGTGCATCAAATGACAGCAAATGAGACAAGTAACTAAAAATGACATGTAAACCACATGACATGGATGGCTACGGTCTGGACGAGATAAGACACTAATCAGACAAAATTTGAAGACTTGGTGGTGAACTTCTGCCCCTGTTTTGGGTTCCATTATAATGCATTTTCTTTTGGAAAATGTATTTTGAAATAGTTTTTTTTTTTTTAAGAATGCGTGGTTAAAACTTAAAATATAAGATTTTTTTTTTGAATTTAAGTGTAATATTATTTTATTAGAGAATGTGTGGTTAAAAAATGAGACAAAAAAATGTATTTTGGATAAAATAAAGCCCAAACAAGGGCTTATATAACGCAATTCGTGTACTAAACAAAATACTCTCATATATTTAATTAAACAGGACACACAATTCCATTATACTTAGTATTTCCCAAAGCATGTGAAATCAAATGTTTGACATTACAGACATATATCAGCACCAAAGATGTAATACCTCTCAATATTTATTACAGTTGAACTGATCCAAGTGCTACAGAGAATTTTTACAAGTACAAAATGGACCACAAGAAGAGAGAAAATTGTTCAGAATAATATGAGACATAATATTACACAACACCAAAGGAAAAGGCAAACTCTGCTTAGGGATTTATCAGTTTGGATCATATGTCTTCTTAGCCTAGGACTACTGTTACCTTGTAGGCGATAAGAATTTGGATAAGTATATAAAGTTGTTTCTGAATTCCCAAAAATCCTAGAGTAGACCATTTCGCCAAACATCCCTATCATCGGATCAATCAAATTTGTTGTAGTGCCACCATTCGGAAGAATAGGTGAAGCTCTGTAGTTCTGAGAATACGGCTGATATGGTCGTGACTGTTGTTCATAGCTTGGAGGATAAAGTTGCCGAACCGGATGTGATTCCCCGAGGGTAGGGGTCGGGATTTGCATGTTACCGCCACATCTAGGACTCGGAGGCCTTTGTGGTATGAGAATACCGAGATGTGAAACTTTGTCTTTAGATGGGTTCGTACTGTTTCCACGGCCATAGAGTGGGATTAAGGTTTTCGGTGAGATCTCTGCTTTGCAGACGGGACATTGTGGATGCTCGTGCTCGGTCTTTTCGGGAGAGACATTCTGCAAACTTATCCACCGGTAGATACAGGGCCAACAATAGAGGTGACCGCAGAATGTAACAACCGGATCTTGCACCAAGTCCAAGCATATGTTACATTCAAAACCACCAGAAAAATTAGTTTTAGACTCATCTTCTGCAGAAGATAACGATTTCCATTTCTCTAAAGCTGTTTTTTCTTCGTTATAATCACTTTGTACTGCAGCCTCCAGGAGATATTGTTCCGTGGCCATTTAGTTTGATTCAGACTTCTTACAACTTTGGTGCCTGCACATAACAACATCAGAGAAAGATTGTTAGAACTCAGAAACCACTTTATTTATGCCCATCAAGCAATATGAGAAGAGACCAAATATCGAAGAACCAAAATGTTGATATTCAGAGAACAGAAGCACATTCGATTAGACATATATCCAGAATTTCGAACCCCATCCCCAACCACCCAAAGAATAATAAAAACTAACATGCCTCATCAAAAAATAGTGGTCCTAACGATTTTTAAGGAAATAGTGTAGTGCAGAAATTCATTGAATGACTTTATAAGCTGCAACTACCCATCCTATCAACAGCAATTTTCAATTCATTTGCTTCGTAATTATCACAACTAACCAACTCCTTGAATTATAGAAAATGAACAAACATCAAAACTATGCCTCGTACGTTCATAAACTTTGTACAACTATATCTACCAAAGACATTAATAGATTGAACAAGGACATCATGAATGGGGTTGATGATAATGAGAAGACAATGATAACTGTCACTTGTCTTTCCTCTGTTCCTAAGCTATTAAATTCTTGTTCTATATTCTACAGGTATATAAAAATACATGCAATAAAAATAGTCGTTGAGACGTCTATTAATAATCAATTATGCAGCAAACCTCTCTCATCAATTCTAGCAAAATTTTAACCATTGCTTCGTCTGTGCCTACCATTCTACTACCAGCTTTCTTTTAAACTAACCCCCCAGAATTTCCTGAAGAATGTTAAACAGAAACATCATGCACGCAAATCAATTAAACCACAAGCATACTTCTAGAAGATACAGTTAATGAGCATCCCTAGAATATTCAAATATGGTGATATATAAAGACATTATTTTCATAAACCTCCTTCCACAGTTTGCTTAATTACAAGAAGAAAAAGAAAGGAAAGAAGAACTGACCACCAAAAACTTTGTAGAGATTAAAAGGAGACTTCACACCAAATAAAAACATAGAAATTGAAAAAAAAAAAAAAATCAGAAGTTTTCTAAGGGATTAAGAACCATAACAGAAAGGAACCATCATGAAGGCTGAAAAAGGGTGACTAACTATAATAAGAGTGAACATGCGAAGGTGATAACCAGTTCTTTTTGTAGTTACTCCTAAATTGGGTTATTTCTGAGCTGTCCATGTTGCATCTGAAGAATATCGTGTGCAGTAATAAGAGTTCAAGTTTTGAGCTTCTAACTGAACTTAACGTGGCGTAATACTTCAGCTTGGTCCCTAACACCAATACTGGCCGATCTCTTTCGTTTAAAGATTCTATTTTGGCATAGCAGAGCTTCAAAAATCCAAATTTAGTATAACTCCTCAAAATTATAAGGTGGGGTTTGATAACAAGAAACCATAGCTATGATCTTGAAACCAACAAACAAGTTGCAGCACCCCTACAAGTATAATCCTTAGTTTCACATAAAGCATCAAAATCTCCAAGAAACACGAAATCCGAACATCAACACAATCAACACAATATTTAACATATCACCTTCTCCCAAAACCATCAAAATGGGGGATAAAACGTTTCAAAACTGTAATACACAAATTCACAACTCGTCATAATCAAGCAACAGAAGTATAATAAATCAAACGCCATATTGTTTAATTTAAGATTTCACACAAAAATCATTCCCTGAGAACTAACAAGAAAGAGAAACTCGGTCCCATAAACCCAAGACATGAAAGAATTTATACACATGAAGAGAGAGACTCACATAACAAGAAAAAAAAGCCCAACAAACTCCATGAACAAAAGGATAAATCTTTGAGAAAACCCTTCAACCGAAAAATTCGATCCCTCGTTTCTTAAAAACATACAACACAAAAATGTAACAGAGGTGGGTGTGGGGTCAAGAAAATATCAAAATACATACCAAGCACGAAGAGGGTCTTCTTGATATAAAATATTTGCGGGATTCAATAGTTTCACTCCTGAATTTGCTTATAGGGAACAAAACGAGGATGCAGTTTTGCTGGAAACGGAGAAAGAAAAGAAGCGTTTTTAATGTGAAGAGAAAGAGAGAGAGAGAGATTGCAGATGATAAGGCAAGATAAAAAGGGCCGTCTCTGCATAATCAGCATATACACAACCAGTATAATCCATATATAATAAACAATACAAGGATTGATTCACCCACAAGTACAGTTGTGAATAATAAATAATTCATACGACTTTGGAATTTACAGCCTTGTTGTGGTGAGAGTAATGTTATTCATAATCGCTCACTTCAACATATGTGTCAAGTGTGTATTTGATGCATTAATATGTGTGGCATCAAATACTCACTTGACATGTGTGTGTCACATAAGACGACTGCTACAGTAACATTGGTCTTTTTGTTAATACCTGAACACTTCTTCTGGATAAACACGTAATGACACTGCGGACATTACCTTTCGTTCCCTGACTTGTCACCTACTCTGCAATTAATTATTTTCAACATCAACCCTGCCCCCACCAACAATTATCTTTTCCTTTTCATTTTGGATGTAGAGTTTTTAATTTTTATGGTCGGAATTAGATAATGATACCCTCTAAGCTCACACTAAGGAGTGTATTCAATCGGTATTCCCACAATTCCCTCCCCATATTATAATTTTTTTTTAAAAAAATAGAAATTTAACTCACCTTAATTAAATAAATAATAATCAAATTTTTGTGTGTGTGTTTATATGTGCATATTAAATTATTGTTTTTTAAAAAAATAAAAAATTTAACATTTAGTATTATGACATTATCAATATGACATACCTTTAAAGAATATAAACAAGAAATCAATATATTTAAATTTAATTATAAAATAATCTTTTATATAAAATTTTATAATTTAATTTCAAATAGATATCTTTCATAAAAAATTATTAAAATCTTTAGTTACAACTTAATTTTTTCATAGAAAATAGAGATAAAAAAATAAAAAAGAAAGAAAGAAAGAGAAAAAAAATATAACCAGTAGAAAAAAAATATTTTTTGATTATGGCTCTAATGTTCGTGGAAGATAAAAAGAAACAAAAATATTTAAAGAAACAAAAATACATATTAACTTTATTTTTTAGAAAGTTTCCCCCAAAATCTTGGAATGAATGAAAGACAAATTTTGAGATTTTATTATAGTACTTTCTGCTTAAAAGTTAGAATCCTAGAGATTTTTATAAAAGTCAAGTGTCATTAAACAATTTGAATATCCCAAAATTTATAGAGACTTGTAAAAGATTTTAATTAAATACACCGTAATTTTTAAAGACTTTTTAAAAGTTCATAAAAGCTTCAATTCAAGAAATCAATACTTTCAAAAAGTTTCTATTGAATATCTTTAAGTTTTTTAAATCCCAAAATGTCTTTAAAAATCATAATTGAATGCACCCTTCTAAATCTGTTGTCTCAACTTGAATTTTCTTTCGGTTGTTCTCAATATATTTTTGTCACTTTAATACATTATCTTTTCTTAGCATAAATCGATAGAAATCAATACCTTTTTTGACATCTTTTCAATTGTTAAGGAGATATTAGGTACCGAAGTGTCAAAAATATATCGAGGATTAGTAGTTTCAACAATTAAGATTAAAAGTAAGTAAAACTCTTTTAAATATCCATTTCTAAATATTTGCATAATTATTTTTTTTTAGTTTTCAGTAAAAATTTACTTATTTTGACCGTAAATCTTACTTTATTATTAATAACTTTCTTATTTCTAATGTTGAAGTATAAAAATATTCTTTATTTAAAAACATACTAATAAGTAAACATTTTGAGCTTAAGTGGACATGCTATATGTTTGAAAGTAATTAAAATTTAAAATATTCTTTATTTAAAAACATACTAATAAGTAAACATTTTGAACTTAAGTGGAAACGCTATATGTTTAAAAGTAATTAAAATTTACTTTTGAAGGTAAATTTTTTAGCTTAGACTTACATCGACTTGAGAGCTAAGTGTATATAATTTTATCATGAATGAATTAATAAATTTGTAAATTAAGTTATGTAAACAAGAAAAATAATATATATATATATAT